TGCTGCTGGTTGAAATCTGTAGGCTGCTCGCACAGCGTGCTGAATGATTTAAGTCTATTTTGCTCACTCAAAACTATTTTTAGTCGCAAATGCGAGTGCCGTGATGGGCGGATCGCCACACTGCCGACATTTTATTCCGCCCATCACGGCACACTGTTTGATTGCGTTATCAAAACACGCCGCTATTATTCGGCCTTGCTTTTAACTTATTCCGTAATACCGAATACCGAATGTGTGTTTTTTTGCAATATTCGGCCGAATATATTTGGTTACCGAATATTTGGTGCATCCCTAGTTGTGAAGTGTGTTAAGTCTCTTGCTGGTGGTAACACATCCTAAATAAACATAACCTTCACTTTTACGCAGCCAAAGAAAGAGGAAGTCGCTTAAAAATATGAGATAATAACAATATGGTTCATTTTTCTTCTTCTATAGGCTATTTAATCTATTGATTAAAATAACAAGATTTCCAACGTTCTCTGGCTTTGCTAACTGAGCATTCATTTCTGGACCGGTGCATCCAAATGAGTTCACTTATTACTTAACATTCTTAATGCCTAAGTTGTCCTTCACTTGAGAAATTTGTCTCAGTTACCTCATTGACCGGGTCAGTTTTATGAAGCATAGCACACTGCTATTTCTAGTTGAACAAATAGTCCTACCAGCCTCTGTGATTCTCAGGCCTTCTCCTCCTCCCTAGATATGATATTTTATAGCTCCCTCTTGACTTGAGGATATTAATATTTTTGATCCACATCAATCTTCCTGCCTGTAGTCTTTCTTTTTAACCCTTATTTAATCATGTATTTAAAACATGATAAAGTTTCTTTCAACTGGACTGCCTGGAAAGGAGAATTTGGAGGATGATGATTCTCTTAGTTGAGGTAAATCCTAACGTAGAGAGCCAGGACAAGCAGACCAATTAATCTGAGGACAAACTGGCAAATTTAAATGCCCTAGAGAGTACTCGAGTGAAAATAAAACAAATATCATGATGACAATGTGACCTAGCAAAGCTAACTAACTAGTGTCTCACAGGCAAGGATGACTGGCTTGAAGTAACAAAGATCAACACACAAGTAATGAGTATGAACTAAAGGGAGGGATTATTTCTCAGATCATATATTTTTAGCCTTACGAGAAGCGATCTGTCAGTCAGTCTGTCCACTATTTTGTTCCAGACTGAAATATCTCAACAACTATTTGTTGGATTGCCATAAAATTTGGAACAGACATTTATGTTCCCCTCAGGATGTACCGTAAGCACTTTGGTGGTTCTCTGACTTTTCATCCCATCAGCACATCAGCATGCCCCTGTCAACATGTTAGCGTTTACTCAAAGCACTACTGCTCCTAACTACAGCCTCACAGACTCACAGACTTGCCATCACTGAGTTGTCACCAAAGGTTCAAGTTATCTTTTGATTATTTGTCTGTTTAATGCTTGTGTTCCAGTTGCGCAGTTAACGTCTAAAATCCTGAAAAAAAAAAATTGAATGCTGCTGTAGATTAACATGTCCTCTCCACATGTGGGGCAGTTTGCGCAGTGATAACTTTTCTAGCAAGTCCTATTTTTAAAACTACACAATCAATTGTCTGCCAGTGATCTACAACATCTTATATACATACCAGAGGTGGGGGTGACCGCCTGGCCATACCCAGTTGGCGAAGCACAGGTGCCCTGCGCCCCACCTTTCCCGGTCTGCGAAACTAGAGCCCCTAGACTTGAAGCATTGTCTACTGTCATGGCTGCATATGAGTCTGAACAGACATGAATGTTAACTGTTAATGCAACTGCACCTGCAATGCAGTAACTGTAGTTTAAATTACGTATTTGCTTTTTTTTTTTTTTAGTTGAGAAGTTATGTTATGTTTTTGAAACAAAAGTTGGTGATTTCAAGTGTAATGCATACAAACTAGAGCTGTCAAAATTGCTCAAAAATGACATTCGAATATTCCTTCTAAAAATAACTCATAGGTTCGAACCATTCGAATATTTTTTTTTCCCGCATTATGTCCACAAGAGGGCAAACTAATACAAGGAAACATACTTGTAAATGTATTAATACAAGGAAACATAACTACTTGTAGGTATTTTTATTTCAACATAAATGTCTTTGAAAACATTAAAACACATAAAACAATTATCTATAACATTAATTTAGAAACGACCGCGGACCTCTCGCTCGCCCCCCCCCCTCTGACCCGTCAGGCCACACCGCTCACGGAAGTGCTGCAAAGAGCCTCGAAGCACCTCGAAGCGAAGCCAGTTTCCTTTCAGTGCCCATGTTAACCGATTGTGTCATCCTCCACACCAGCTGCGCCGTGCCGCGCAGCTCCGTGGCCAGCTCTGGTCTATTTTCTGCGCGAGCCGCGAGCGAATGTGTCAAGCCGGGTGACGGAGACAACAGCTGGGAGCAGAAACGCTTGTCGACCAGCATGGAGAAATGCGCGTCTGATGTGAACGGAAGTGCTCTGGCTCGTGCGAGAATTTCGGTGCGCTGCGCTTCGCAGCACCTCCGCGGGCGGTGTGGCCTTATGCAGTGCTTTCAGTGCAGCGGCCCAGGCCAACAGCCACTCGAAAAGAGGACAGCTGCGGTGGTGTTTTTTTTCTCTCCACAATTGAATATCAATTTTCACATTCAAAAGTCCAATTTTTTTTTCAAATTCGAATTTAAATTCGAATTTAGAATATTCGTTGACAGCCCTAATACAAACCTGGCAACCTACCAGGACACAGCAGACCAGTGGATGTTACGTTGTATGGAAACATATTGCTGCCACACCAGAAAAGGAAAACAAATCTATGTCATAACATGAAGGGCTCTAGTTTTGCAGACCGGGCGAGGCAGGGGCGCAGCGCACCTGCGCTTTGCCAACTGGGTGTGGCCAGGCGGATTTTGCGAGTTTGGCACACCATGCGCGCTGGCTACTCCTCTTTCCCAACTCCGTCCCTCCTACCAGCGCAAGTCGGAAAGAGGGAGGAGAGAAGACGTGGAGTGGGTTTTACACACATCACACCAATCAAATGAGCCCCTCTCCTCGCCCTTAAATGCGCCGCGCGGAGGTATAATGAGAGTTTACTCAATTCGCAGATGGCAGAAGAGAGCAGCAGCGTCAGACGGCCAAACTTCTCCCAGGAGGAAACTGATGTTTTGGTCCAGGAGGTCCAAGCTCGCAGTGTCTGAATATACGGAACTGCGTGCAGACCTCCACGGGCTGATGATGCAAAGGTAGCCTGGGAGGAGGTCACCACAATTGTAAATCAATGTTGCGTTTCTCTCGTGCGTGCGTGCGTGCTCTCTCTTTCTCTCTCGCAGTCTCACTCTGTTTCTTTTCTTTTGACTTTTCTAAGATGACAGATGCTGAATATATACTCCCTATCTGATGCTGTGGCTGTTTGTGGTTGGCTGAGAGGGATGCGAACTCATCAGTTTGCAGCTGTTTAATCAAATCAGGTTGGGTTTCCATTACGCGTGCCAAACGTGCCAAATGGTGCCAATCCCCTTTGATCTGACATCAGATGTGACGGGACAGTCGATATAGAGATACATTTATGTGCTGATTGCAGATAGTTGCATTGAATAGTGTTTTTTGTGGGTATTTATTGCATTGTTAATGTGCCTGATATTCTGGAAACCTGCCTGTGAGGTTTTGGTGACGTGTGCGCACTGTCCGCAGGTCAGCCAAACTTCGGCTTACACCGGCTGCACTCCGCCTGCGCTGACAGTAGACCTGGTTTCAGCTGGTGAGCTTTTAGCGCACCTTCGGTGAAGCCTTTTGACACGAAACTGTCACTGCGCCAAGCTGGATCTGTTGACACCTCCCCCTGCTGCGCCGCCACACCCATCTCAGCGCACCTCGGTCTGCCAAACTACCAAACTGAGCATGCCTTGGGTTGTGCTGCTCGAAACTAGCTCTGCGCGGGGTTCGCCACCCTGCGCTGCGCCGGGAAACTAGAGCCTGAAAAGTTTATTGTTATAATAGGATATTTTTCAAGTTATAAGGAAATATTTTCCCGTTATTACAACAAACAAACTTACCACGTTATAACAAAAAAAAAAAGAACAATGATGATTTATCTTATGTATGTATGTTATGTAAAATGTTTCATGTTGTAACAAGATAATAGTATATTGTTACTACAATATAGTTTTAGTTTTTCAATATAGTAAGTTTTTTGTAATGTGGAAAAAATCTTGTCAGGAAAAACTTTTCACGTTATTATGTGATTCTGCTCCATTTTTTCTTTTTTAGTGTGGCAGCCACATGCTGTAGTAATGTTGACATGTTAATAAAAGAAAACAGCACTTTGCAAGATCTGCAGCTCAACAATCAGTAACACTACCACCATAATAAACAACCTCATCGGTTACTACAAAGGAAGGTATGTAAAACTGTTTTTTTAGCTGACTTATTAGCTTATTGGCTTGTCAAATGTTAGCTAGAAAGCTAACGTTTGACCAGATTCATCAGATCATTGGAATTTCATATGACTTGACTTGTCTTGCTTGACTTGAAGCAGGAACTCGACTTGACTTGCTTTATTCTCACCACAGTAATTTGGGACGTGCACATGTGTGACTTACTCAACATCTGGTATGTACATGCACAGTAGTGTAAAATGTGGCTCATCTTGTCCCACTCTCCCTTACCTTAACTATGTTCTTAATGTACACTCTTAATGTCCACACATAGGCAAAATAAAGAGGCTAAAAAAACATGCAATGAAGACATGAAGTGATGACTGGTTGCTAAAAACCCTTATTTGTTAAATGCAACCTTAACCTGTTAAGATAATGTCAAGGCCCTTGAAATTTGAAAATATCATTATTGTAAGAGTAAATGCATTTTTAAACTAAAACAACAGTAACAAAGCTCACGGGCAATGGATGAATGGATGCACTAGAGGGAGTTAAAGTGCATATGCAGGTTACATGTGTCTGTCTGCACATGTCTGTGAGGACACAGCCAGGGAGGGAGGGAGAGAGAGAGTAAGTTTACACTTTAGCAGGATCAAGGAAGCAGAGGAGAGCATTCATGCGAAGGAGGTTGGGATTTGACGGACATTTAGGACAAACCATGTGAGGTGAGTCAACATGCTTTAAACAACTTTATTTGGGAAGTTACACTGAGGGTTGACCAAGCACACACTTAGACATTTACAAGGATGACGATTCATGCAATAAGTCATGTTTGGTGTTTGGGTTAAGTGTCAGATATGTTATGTATATAAATATATTAAAGTGTTGCTTAGTGATTCATCTATGTCTCCTTTTCTCTGGTAACACACTCACATGATATTAGCGAGCATGTGGGTGTGTGCTTTAGTTCTGATCAAGCAGCAAGGCACTGCGGTTTCACCTCAGACAAGGTATATTTTTTGTCAAACTAGTTGCTTTTGCATGTGTAATTAGAACATAATTGCACATGCTGGCTTGGTGGTTTCACTTTAATTGTTCTGCACATAGGTCTCATAGCTGTAGGTTCAAGCCCTACGTAGGAGAGAGTGTGTCAGGGTTTATTGTTGGACAAAGATGGTGATGTTGGATCATCAGTTTGTCACCCAGTTTAAGCTACTTTGATCCAGTACGGGGCCGCATGTGGGACAGAAGGCAAGGTTTAAGACTAATTTTTCATTTTGTGTAATATTCCTTACTGAAAGACTTATAAAATATGTATTCATGTGTGCAGTTATATCTATTAAGTATTAAAATATACTGTATTGAAACTGTATATCACAGATTCCAACTCTGACTTTTTTACTATGGCTCATGGTTGTTTAATTAGTATTTAATTCAAACTTAAATGTATTATAAGTCATTAAATTCTTACTGACTCTTACTGACTTGTTACAGTAAAAACGTGATGGCGTGGGTGGTTGATATGATTACTAGCAATCATAAGGGAGCTGTTCCAGTCCAATTAAGTTTGTGTTGCTGAAACATGGTCCACTAATGGGGACAGCACATCCCAGATAAGACAATGGAAGAAAAAATGTCCTTCCTTCAGTTTGTGGCAGAGAAAAGTGGAAAAAAAAACACACAAAAACAAAACAAAAGAGTAGTACACAAATCATTACTTCTCCTTGGCAAATTGCCAATGGATTCAGTATACTGCTGTGAGTGGTTTCACTTTTCACATGTTGTTAGATTGTTGATCTACAATGCTGGCCCACCTTGTGTCGCACTGGGCCGGATGTTTTGCCACAGTGTTATCACACACTGTTGACTCATCTACCTCACCAGCCACACTTAATTTGTTCCATGATGCAGGGGATTTTTATATTCCCTGACAGGAGAGGGACATTTAGGTTCTCTGAACTTTGTGTGCAGATATACTTCTATTATATGAACAGCTGTCAAACAGACACACAGTCATATATTTACTGTAGATAACAGCAAGAAAATATATTATTATAAATAATATTACTTAGCTTATACTAAGTGATAACATACAGTATGTATTCATGCACATACATATGCATTTTATGGAACATTGTTCCCACTAGAAGAAAATTACAGTAGATTATTTTGCGACAAAGACTATTTGGGATGCAAGCAAATTAATTATGCAATAAAATGTAAAATGATCTCAGGTTCTCATCATGGTACTACAGTATGGTGTTGTGTTTCACGTGTTACCATAATTTTTTGGTGCATCAGCAACAAGGCAAAATGAAAGTGGACAAACACGGATCAGTTGCTTTTATTTCTGACTCTTTATGGCCAGGGAAGCCTGGTTCTTGTTGCACTAAATGAGAGCAGCGGACTGACAAGGGACACGGCTCGACTAAACTCTGTCAGTGCTGAAAAAACAAAGTCACCATGGAAACAAGAAGTGTTTATCCCTGAGGGGAATCTATTGACAATATTACATTAAAACCTTGAATTCTCTGAATGGCCTGGTACAGCCGAAACAGTGGCTTCTGTGAATTATCTAGAGCTTGAGGAAACAAGGTAGAATCTTCATCTGTGATGATGAGCTCTTAAACTATTGAGCACAGTGGGTCAATTATTAAACAAATGTGTAACTTTTGATTAATTGATTCCTTTTTGCATTGCATACCTCAAGTGAAGCATCATAGCTGGGAATGTCAGTGGCAGTTACAGTTTACAGAACATGGGATCTTTCCACTTGATTGTTGTACTTTTTTAGACTGTATATGAAGATATATAAAATCATTCTGTCAGTCAATAATAATAAAGCTAAGCTTCTGTTTCATTAATTCATTAAATGCATCATTTTATCATCAAATCATTATATGAACACCCCCATAATTTCCTCCACCCTAACGTAAACATCGTAACATTATATCCGCTCTTCTTATCATTGTCTCTGTAAACACTTCATGTTATCTTAACTGTCGTCACAGCAGGGACAGTACTGAATTTGTAAGAGCCTGAATAGGGTCACAAACATTGTCATAAAACAAAAGATAAAGCAGATGAAAGAACGTGCTAATCTGTATGTTTGTACTAATTTGACATATTCTTTTGTTTATCAAGTGTCATAAAGTTGGAGGTACTGATATCCTCCTGTATAACCATAACCTCCTATATAACCATAACCATTTTGAATAGGCTATTGCTTGTGTGTTTTAAGATGATAGAGAGGTTAGCTGACGTGTGATTATAATGAAATGTGACACTACTGTTAAATTAAAGAATGTCTTTAGGCTACAACAAATTGCATTAAATATACAGAGGAGGAACTATGTCAGCAACATGACCCCTTCTATCCAAACCAACAACAATTTCCATGTCTATATGCAACACTTTGCAGCCTGTGCAAACAACTTAGAGTCAATTGTAACTACTACAGTCAGACAACATATTGACAACAAATACAAGGTTTATGGCAATATTAAGCTACTCTTAAGCGTATAGAATGTTACATCACCAACACAATGGCTGCAGCCATAAACACACATATTAAAGCAGTGGAAAGATTGCACAGTTTTACACAGATATCATGTAGCGCACACACAGCACCAAGTTACCAGGCAATGCTGTGAATATTTGACTTTCTGATCTGTAGAAAGACTTCAGTGAGCACTAGATTCAACCTCAGCTCTAGATTCCACTCAGCATCTTTATCCCAGTATAAGCAGTCCACTAAACCTCAATGTGTGACTGAGCTCCTCAAATTCAAACATTTTATAGCTGAATGAGGCTCTGAGGCACTTAAGATAAGATAAGATAAGACAAGATAAACTTCATTGTCCCGCAAGGGAAATTTGTCTTGGGCAGTCTCACATCATATGGCTCATCAGGACTTTTTCATGTTTGCAACTGAAATGTTGTTAAAAAAATAGAAAGTAATTTCACATATTTACAGTGATAAAAAAGTATTATAGTAACTGATTATCTTTCTTGCAAAATGTAGCCTCTTAAGCACAGTACCACCTATCGGCACTAACACTCTGCTGTTGTCTCTGCTTTATAATCATCAAACCTTAATTAGGGAATTTGAGAACCATCGGTCCATGCCAGGTGTCATCTATTTTTTATGGGAGTACTACATCAGATGGCCTTACTGTAATAAGGACGCAGATAGCAAAAACAACAGACTCAAACATGCATCATGTATACACAGTCAAACAGCAGTCTCAGACAGTTAAAACTGGACTTCTTCTATGTCTGCCAATAGACTTAGACTGTGGTACAGCACAGTAAACAATAAACATAATGTAAACACAATTTAAACACAGAGCGACAAGACACCTATTAAAGTTCATAATCATGATCTATCAATAAATAAAGTGTATTTTGCGCATCACTATAGTGTTTGCATTTGTTTTATTTGACCTAACCCTAACCCATGAAATATGAAACACACATAGAATCGATTTAACCGAATGATATTAGCTGTTACTGCCAATGTGTTTTACTTGTTTATTAATAAATTTACCCATTGAGGATGCATGACTAGTGATTTTAGGATGCAGTCTGATGATTGAAAAAAAAAATGAAACAAAGAAAACAGCTAAGCTTCCCCGCAAGGCGTGACAGCTGGGGCTTTGAAAGAACACCTCAGAGGTAAATGCCATCCTGGTGATCCAGATGGATCTTATTTTACTCATTCAAACATACTGTGAGTTCAGTATTCAGCTGTTTTTTCCTTCTGAAAAGAGAAAATAGCTTCTTTTTTTTTTTTTGAGAATGCAAACTCATCAGTGAATAAATATTCCTGTCTCTAACATCCTGAAAGGAGCCAATGAAATGTCTCAAATTCCTTTTTCAAACAAACGTATGTGGTTGGATACACAGCAATCTACCTTTTTTTTTCACTGGAGAGCTCAGATTTGTTTACTTTACTCCCTAGACTGTGGCAGAATGTTTTATGGTTGTTTTTAAGATCTTGTCTTGAATTAGCCTGACAGTGATGCACAATAGAGTGCAGCCCAAGCTTTAACAAATGCTCTGGCTCTCTAGTAAATTTTCCCATCTCTAGGGGACAGCTTCCCAGTGTCAACATATGTTTATAAAAAGGCACATTCTTTTTGTGTCTCTCTGTGCTGCTGATCATCCAGGTCCATTACTTGTGTCACATGTATCTCTAGGCCAACTAAGCGGTGCAGATATCATGTTAGAACACAACATTTATTCTTCTATAGATTGTGCAAGAGCTATAATGCCCTGCCATTCCATGAGGTAGATTAATAATATCCACAAGAATGCTGTTGTACTGAGGATGTTAACCCATTTAATTTGTGGGTGTATTGCAACTTTATGCAGTTAAAAAGACAGTATGTAAGTGGAACGTATTGTATGTGATAGCCTGTACATGTTTGTGTCTGTTTTCATAGTTTCCTTTACAGTTTGGATGGATGGAGGTGTATATACAGCATATATTCACCTGTATTATTTGGAACTTGGTCAAATTGGGATGGAGTTCCCGAAAGAGCAGTAGGAAGAGTAAAGACTAAAGGGAGAGCTGAACTACAAATGACACCACTTACGAGCCAACCCTGCATAAATGTGTCTAATTTATCCTTATTCTGGAGATAAATATAGATTCTAGCATCCAACTTTGAGAAATAAATACAAAACATATGCAATCAGGCTGTACATCTGTTACAGTTACTATCCACTATCCAAGAACACTGCAGTAACATTTGTCAGCATGCATTCATTCATTTACAAAGAGTTATTAATAAGGCTTACGTCACTTACAGGATATAGCCTGTTTTCTGATTTGATTTACTGTATTATTTAACAAGCTGATTTATTTCAGTTTTTTTAATGTGTATTTTAGTGTATTTTTGGAAGCCCAGAGAGGATAAGTGAAAATCAAAATTGCAGGCAACACTGGCAAAACAAGTTTATCTCCTATGTAGGAGGTATGAGATAGTATCTCCCACATAGAAAATTAATTAAGATAAATTCAGATAAGCCTAAGTTTATCTCCTACCTAGGAGAAATTATGTTCTACATAGGAGATATCATCTCTTATGTATGATGTGTGACATAATAAACTTAAGTAAACTTACACAAACCAAAAGTTTTTCTCCTACTTAAGAGGTATTTTCTTAGACCTCCTATGTTAGGAGATAATATCTCAGAGATATTTTGGCCAACATTGCTTCTTCATAGATTGGATAACACACAGTAGGGAGACTATAATTATATTATTTATATTATTATTGCAAAATCAGGATTTTTATACACTCCCTTGTAGAAGCCAATAAGAAAACTATGTCCTAAAGTCTTGCTCATTCTTTTTCGGTAGGTCATTTGCTTAGTAACTATTTGTGGTCATTTGACCTTTAACTGGCAGCTGCACTCAGACTCCTTAAATGTCAGAAGGATTACCATGCTTTACTTATACACAAATGATAAAAAGTCATTTAAATGATAACATGAATTTTCAGCTACTAACCACTGTTCTTGTTCTCCACTAGAGAAGAGTTTACAGCACTGGCACTGTGAGAAAAGAGATGTCTGGGAAGTGCTTTACACTCTGTGACCTCTTTTGAACTGGTTACCTTTTTTAAAAGAGCCATGTGAAGAATTGCCTGATGGAAGAGTGAACTGGCAGTGGATGAGCTTATGTAAACATTTTCTACTGAGATACCAACAGCAGCACTGTCTCAGTGGCCCTGTGCCTGAGGAGGAGGTCACCATGATCTCCACAGCTCTCCGCTGGCTGGTCCTGGTGTCTTTCATCATTCTGACCATTGGTGGGAACGTGCTGGTGTGTTTGGCTGTGGGGCTCAGTCGCCGACTATGGCGCATTGCTAACTGCTTTGTGGTGTCCCTGGCAGTGACAGATCTCCTGCTAGGCCTGCTGGTGCTGCCCTTCTCCGCCACTGTGGAGCTGCGCAGCGGGAATTGGCCCCTCGGAGGAGCCCTATGTAACATCTACATCTCACTGGATGTCATGCTGTGTACATCTTCCATCCTGACCCTGCTGGCCATCAGTGTGGACCGATACCTAGCTATTTCAGCTCCCCTTAGCTACTCCCAGAGAGTTACTCCTCTAAGGGTGACCCTGGCCATGATCGCCATCTGGGCCTTGTCACTAGCTGTGTCCTTTGTGCCCATCCACCTGGGCTGGAATACAGCGGACTACTTAGTGCAACACTTGGACTGGGACATGGGGGATGAGGACAAGGAGGGACGCTACTGCCAGTTTGAATGGAATAACAACTATGTTCTCATTTACACGTTTGGCTCATTTTACCTGCCTCTGCTGCTTATGTGTGGAATGTATCTTTGCATATTCAGAGTGGCACGAGAACAGGTCAGTGTTTATTTCATTTTGGAAAACATGCTGAGGTTGGATATAAAAGGTCACAGAGTCATATTCACCGGGTGCTGAATTAAATCCTATCATCAGATCAGTGAGTGAGCTCACCTCATTTTCTGTCTCTCTAACCTTTTCTTAACTGACCTTTTCAGGTGCGGCGTATTCGAGCTGCCACTCCATCATTTGCACGCACAGCATCAACTGCAGCCATAGCCCGAGAGCACAAAGCTACAGTGACCCTGGCAGCTGTGCTGGGGGCCTTTGTCATCTGCTGGTTCCCCTACTTCACCTTCTTCACCTGCATGGGCATAAGGGAAAAGACAAACCCGCCTAATACACTTAACTCTGTGGTGCTGTGGCTGGGCTATTTTAACTCAGCTCTTAACCCCATCCTGTATCCAGCCTTCAACAGGGATTTCCGCAGGGCCTATGGAGAGCTGCTTCGCTGCAGAAGACTGTCTCACAGAAAACTGCAGCTTACCCGTGTGTCTGTGCATAAACGATTGACCTTTATTAACGGACAAAGGGTTTTCCAACAGCCTGAGAAACATAAAGACACAGTTAATAAAGAAACTGAGGGAAAGAGCCTCACATATGAGAGGAATGGTCCCTGATGAGCCAAGGTAAAACGCCATGTATCTGTAGTTCCACTGCTGGACTGTAGACAAAATGTTGTAAGCTACAAACTTCTTCCACAAGTCACAGTTCCAGATTAGCTAACCATTTACAGTATCACTTAGATATTTAGTGTATAGTGCCAAAGATGATACTAATACTACTAATTCAAGGCACAACATGATGAATGTACATAGATTTTTTGTTTGTGTTGTGGATAAAAAAAAAATAATACATGACTCAAATCCATGTGCTTAATTTAAAAGTGCCCAGTGTTTATGATCAGATATAATCATGATGATGACAATGTCTGTTTATTAGACACCTGTAAAACCTATGAGTGTGTATTTTAAAGTAGACAGTAGCAGGCAGAGCAGAGCTGAGTGGAGTGAATAGATGACTCAATAAGTGTCCCAGTAAGCTGCATGGAGACACAGGTGGTTAAAATTTTGCAAATGGTTTATTTTCTCTCCCCTCAACCCTGCCAGTGAGAGTGAATGAGTGACCAGTATGTTTGATATGTACAAATTGTCTATGTTTGACTTGACCCAAGCAGGAGGACCTAAAGGACTTCCTGGATGTTTCAGCAGATTACCTGAAACTCAACCAAAGTTTCCCTTATTAAAAAGGACTTTTTTGTATTACTTGTGGATACTTTTAACACTCTAACCCTCTGAGTTATGATGGGGACTGGTTGCATTAATGAAGTCAAATCATTAAAGCTGTTCATAACAAGTCCAACGTATTTTTAAAGGGAAAGTTCACCCCCAAATCAAAAATATATATTTTTGCTAATACCTGTATTGCTATTTATCAGTCTGGATTGTTTTGGTGTGAGTTGCAGAGTTTTGGGGATTAAACTTCATCGAACTAGATGGCACTCAGCTTGTGGCGCTCAAAGCACAAAAAAATACATTTGATGAACTCAACAGAAATAGCCCCTTTTCCACCAACATTTCCAAGAACTGGTAACCTGTGTGGTTTGTATTTCCACCGCACCTCAAATCTCCGGAAAATTTATTCAAATTAGCGTTATGACGAAGATGATTCGGCGTGTGTTCTGTATTTGGCTTCACCAGCTTGTTTACTGGTAACATAGTGCTGCTGGTAGGGAGAGTTGGGGCTGTTTGTCTCAGCCAGCAGCTAAGTTTGAAAGTATTTTAAGATAAGTGTCAAACTAAGATAGCCTATATACAGACCGCTGTCATTTGAGCTTGTTAGTAACAATTCGCTATCAGCTGAACTATCTTGCTGTCCTTGTGTAAAACATAACGTTAGTGTCGGTGGATGAGAGACTGTGGATGGAGCATATTGAATATCGCTGTCTACATGTTAACATGTTCATGCTTGCTGAACACATGCATTGATAAAGTATTGGTTTCTTACTCGCTTACAGTAACGAGTGTAGTTGCCGCCAACTCGAGTAATTTTCGAGTTATGTTCACTTCGTTTCCACTGCGGCCACTTGGCTGTTCACTGGTTACCGTGTCAAGTCGGTGTATGTGTGGATGTGTGTGTGTGTGTGTGTGTGTCCAGAACAGAGAGCAGAGGAGAACCAATACCGTTAGAGCTGATCAATACTACGGTCTTTGATAATTTAGCCCCAGGGCTAATTCAGTACCGGGTTTCAGTACCCATCCTTAATCAAAACACAAACGAAGTGAAGCTTGTAGAAATGAAATAAAGTTTGCAGCAGCTGCCCGTGCCAGGAAGTGTGGAACGCTGCAAGTGTGAGTCCACCAATCAGCGTTCTTCAGCAAACAGCCCTGCCCCTCAAGAATTGCGGGTAATCTGAAAAGTCCCACCCCCCACAAAATCCCAGGTAATTGATAAAAGTTCCTGTGGTGGAAAAGGGGCTAATGTCTCTTTACAGAAATAATGAATCGCTTTTTGAAGATGATACTCAGACCTTGTTGTGAGCCGTTTCATGTGGAAGCTATTTTCTACCAAAATACACGCACCACTTGTACCAGGAAGGAAGCGTGCATCTACTCATGGACGAGAGGCTCGTGCTTGTGAAAGCGAGAGATGTAAACATTAAAGGCATCCCACTAGCAGAGCTGTAACATTAGCTAGCCCAGCGGTAGTTGTACGAGTTGATGGGTGTACTTCGGTAGAAAGAAAGTAGTTCTTACATAAAACTGCTCACAACAAGGTCTGTGGATTATCTTGACTCACTAGTAGGGTTGTCACGATACTAAAATTTCAAACTCGATATCGACACCCAGGAAAATATTCAATACTCGATACCATTTTCGATACAGCAGCAAAAAATTAAGAGGCATGTCATTTTTTAAATAAAGATCAGAACAGTAACATCAATGATAACAACAAAAAAATCCCCCCAAAATAAATAACAACCAGAAACAAGATCTGTCCATACAAATGTATTTATCTACAGCCCTGTTTATTTTCTGTGCTTCTGGTGAATTGGCACCATATTTCCGTTGCTGATCAAATAGAGCTGGTAGTTTAGGCTCAGGATGCTCCTGTTTCTACCTCACTATGTGATCAGAGAACCAGGGGTTACGGGAGAAACCAAACGTTTTTTCAGCTTCAATCTGTGACTTTACAGTTAACATAACTTTTCAGACACACATAATTGTGTTGTCCTGTTAAACTAACATTGTCTATTAATGTTACAGACGGGCATGACTGATAAAGTTTTCTGCTTAGCTCCCACATTAACGTTAGAAGTTATATTTTCGTTTGATGCTGGCGACATCAGCTGCTAGTTCCAATATATTGGAGAGAAGGCAGACACCTCTAAGGCTGATCTCTCCAACCCTCAGCAACTCACACTAAAACTATCAAGATTAATAAATAGCACTGCAGGTAAGAGGGAAAATTATGAAATGTATATGTCGCTGGGAGTATTCTCATGCATAAACATTAACAGTTGAAATATCTTGACACGACAGCCCACTGACACTTGTGTTCTGATGTATAAGGATTCGAAAAGATGAGGAATGTAAATGTAGTGTGCTTGACAAAAGAAAAATAATTCAGAGATGAAAAATTGGAAAGAAAGTGCACTAATAGATGTGATACCAAGTAATATTTACTTGCCTTTAATTAATTTTAGAATTGAAGTATTAATAAATAATTTACTAATTTAGAGACAGAATAGTACATTGTATTTTAACAAACATAGTTATGATGTTGTTGTTGTTTTTTTAAAGATATTTTTTGCCTTTAATGGACAGGACAGTTAAGTGTGAAGGGGAGAGAGAGAGGGGATGACATGCAGCAAAAGGGCCACAGGCTGGAACCCGGGCCGCTGCGGCAACAGCCTTGTACATGGGGCACCTGCTCTACCACTAAGCCACCGACACCCCATGATGTATAGTTTATTCATTACTCTCAGAATGCTTTTAATCAAATATAATCAGTAATTGCTTTTAATTCATGTTGTTATAAATGTATTAATTAAAACATTTTTTCATTCAAAGGCAGAATAGTAAATTATATTTTTCATATATTTATTATTATGCATTTTTTATTAACTACAAACTTGCTAAACCAATTAAATCATTTATCATTGATAACACTAAACTCTTAAAACTCAACTTTTGCACATAGGCTGTCAGTGTATTGCAGACACTGTTTAGTGCATATTAGTATTCTGTCTGCTTTATTTGGTCCTAGTAATGATTGCAGTCGACTATCAGGTCTAATGTGCAGATGGAAAACGATTTTCAAGTACTGTCAGTAACAAGACAAGGCAAGCTGAGCGCGATTCTAATTAAAGTTTAATGTGAGCCATGGTGCTGTCGATGGTAGTTGAAGTGGGTTGATAGGTTGAGGCAGGGAAAGGGAATGAAATTCCTTTGGGATGAATTGATGACTTGCCTCAAACTTGCAGAAGAGAGGATGCTGCTGAGGAGGAGACATTAAATCGCATTTCACGAATATAAGGTCTGAAACTGGCAGCGATCGAGCCAGCAGCTGCTCCGTGGCATAAAGTGGAAGTAATTAAAATTATTGACTCTTATTCAGGTCAAGTGGCAAAGGAGTAAAAAAGAGAGAATGGAGGTGCAGGACCATTTATAGGTGGCATTAAATGCAGCGGAGTCCTCTGAACTGAGGAGGATGAAATTGTATTACAGTTGGCAGTCATGTTCAGTACAACTCACATACAGTAAAGGTTTCTCTGGATTTGAGTGCTGCACGTGTCCTGACATGGATGTAAAAGAATTTCCTCTATAAAAGTTGCTGGCATCCATCAGAGGAGACTCTAAGGTTTTATTCACATGTATCAAATGCAGACATGGAAAAACCAAAGATTTTGGGATGTTTACATGCTGCAGTAACTACTGTGTAGTTAACAATCATATCTCAATTGGCAAAGTGACTTCTTGGAGTCCCTAGAAATAGTTAAAGCACATAATTCCCCATAACAAATTGTGATTTTTACATTTCTGTTCAGTGTGTTCTCATCCCTGCTGTCAAAGACAGACACTTTGTTACGCCCCTTGGTGTGGAATATTGATTCCGAAGGCACCCTATGGCATTTTTTTTAAGATGCACCAGGCTTTCAATTAACTCTGTTGTTGATACATCTGCAGCAATACTTGATGGTGACATGACTTCTGTACCACCTGATATAGTATAAAAAGCTAGAAAGTCTGCTTAGGGTGGAAGGTTGGTAGGGAGGGAGGTGGCTAGGTCAAACAAAACAAGACTTTCACCCAAGAGGCTACTGTTTGTGTCCAACCCTGTCTCGCTCTGAAGTCGTTGAATATCAGCGCTTTGGCAGTGACAGTGCTGAAAAAAGCCGTCCTTTCACGTCAGCATGATACGCGGCCAGTCGCCATTATTGTGTAATGGTGCTTAGCAGCGTCAGGAGGAAAAGCAGCGGGACAACAATGTAAGTTAAGGAGGCGAAGAGTCTGAGTGGGGTGGGAGGGGTGGTGGATGGGTCAGTCCACGGTTTATTATGTAATCTGTTTATTTTGAAAGAGACTGTATGTAAACTATACATATCCTGTGAAAACTGAAGTTTAATTTGAAAGCAGATAATGCATGTAACAGGCAGAAATTGACATGGTACCCAGGGTACCTTGTATGTCATATGTTGAGGTTGCAGTGAGAA